AATAGATCATATATTATGTCACAGGGAAACTCTTAGACAATATAAAGGAGTAGAGATAATACCATGCATCCTATCTGATCATAATGGAATGGAACTGAAAATCAACGATAAAAGAAGGAAGGGAAAAGAATACATCACTTGGAGAATGAACAATAGGTTACTGAATGATCAATGGGTTATAGAAGACATCAAGGAGGAAATTAAAAAATTCTTAGAGATTAATGAAAACACAGACACAACATATCGGAATCTATGGGACACATTGAAAGCAGTTCTAAGAGGAAAATTCATTGCTTGGAGTTCATTCCTTAAAAAAAGAAAAAACCAACAAATAAATGATCTCATACTTCATCTCAAAATCCTAGAAAAAGAAGAGCAAAACAACAGCAAAAGAAGTAGAAGGCAAGAAATAATTAAAATCAGAGCTGAAATTAATGAAATCGAAACAAAAGAAACAATTGAAAAAATTGACAAAACTAAAAGTTGGTTCTTTGAAAAAATAAACAAAATCGACAGACCCTTAGCCATGCTAGCGAAGAGAAGAAGAGAGAGAACTCAAATTACTAACATACGGGATGAAAGAGGCAATATCACAACAGACACTTCAGAAATACAGAAGATAATCAAAAATTATTTTGAATCCTTATACTCCAATAAATTAGAAGATAGTGAAGGCATAGATAAATTTCTTAAGTCATATGATCTGCCCAGATTGAGTCAGGAGGATATAGACAACCTAAACAGACCAATATCAATTGAGGAAATAGAAGAAACCATCAAAAGACTACCAACTAAGAAAAGCCCAGGACCGGATGGGTATACAGCAGAGTTTTACAAAACCTTTAAAGAGGAACTAATACCAATACTTTTCAAGCTACTTCGGGAAATAGAAAAAGAGGGAGAACTTCCAAATTCATTCTACGAGGCCAACATCACCCTGATACCTAAACCAGACAAAGACACTTCAAAGAAAGAAAACTACAGACCAATATCTCTAATGAACCTAGATGCAAAAATCCTCAATAAAATTCTGGCCACTCGGATACAAAAACTTATCAAAAAAATTGTGCACCATGATCAAGTAGGATTCATCCCTGGGATGCAAGGCTGGTTCAATATACGGAAATCAATAAATGTTATTCACCACATCAATAGACTTAAAAATAAGAATCATATGATCATCTCGATAGATGCGGAAAAAGCATTTGACAAAGTACAGCATCCCTTTATGTTCAAAACTCTAGAAAAACTAGGGATAACAGGAACATACCTCAATATTGTAAAAGCAATGTATGCTAAGCCTCAGGCTAGCATCATTCTGAATGGAGAAAAATTGAAGGCATTCCCTCTAAAATCTGGAACAAGACAGGGATGCCCTCTCTCACCACTTCTGTTCAACATAGTTCTCGAAACACTGGCCAGAGCAATTAGACAGACGAAAGAAATTAAAGGCATCAAAATAGGAAAAGAAGAACTTAAATTATCACCATTTGCAGATGACATGATTCTATACCTAGCAGACCCAAAAGGGTCTACAAAGAAACTATTAGAGCTAATAAATGAATTCAGCAAAGTGGCAGGATATAAAATCAACACGCATAAATCAAAGGCATTCCTGTATATCAGCAACAAATCCTCTGAAATGGAAATGAGGACAACCACTCCATTCACAATATCTTCAAAAAAAATAAAATACTTGGGAATCAACCTAACAAAAGAGGTGAAAGACTTATACAATGAAAACTACAAAACCCTAAAGAGAGAAATAGAAGAAGATCTTAGAAGATGGAAAAATATACCCTGTTCATGGATAGGCAGAACTAACATCATCAAAATGGCGATATTACCAAAAGTTCTCTATAGGTTTAATGCAATGCCAATCAAAATCCCAACGGCATTTCTTGTAGAAATAGAGAAAGCAATCATGAAATTCATATGGAAAAACAAAAGACCCAGAATAGCAAAAACAATGCTAAGCAGGAAGTGTGAATCAGGCGGTATAGCGATACCAGACTTCAAACTATACTACAGAGCAATAGTAACAAAAACAGCATGGTACTGGTACCAAAACAGGCGGGTGGACCAATGGTACAGAATAGAGGACACAGAAACCAATCCACAAAACTACAACTACCTTATATTTGATAAAGGGGCTAAAAGCATTCAATGGAGGAAGGATAGCATCTTCAACAAATGGTGCTGGGAAAACTGGAAATCCATATGCAACAAAATGAAACTGAATCCCTTTCTCTCGCCATGCACAAAAGTTAATTCAAAATGGATCAAGGAGCTTGATATCAAATCAGAGACACGCCGTCTGATAGAAGAAAAAGTTGGCTACGATCTACATACTGTGGGGTCGGGCTCCAAATTCCTCAATAGGACACCCATAGCACAAAAGTTAATAACTGGAATCAACAAATGGGACTTACTCAAACTAAAAAGTTTTTTCTCAGCAAAAGATACAATAAGAGAGGTAAATAGAGAGCCTACATCCTGGGAACAAATCTTTACTCCTCACACTTCAGATAGAGCCCTAATATCCAGAGTATACAAAGAACTCAAAAAATTAGACAATAAGAGAACAAACAACCCAATCAACAAATGGGCCAAGGACCTGAACAGACACTTCTCAGAGGAGGACATACAATCAATCAACAAGTACATGAAAAAATGCTCACCATCTCTAGCAGTCAGAGAAATGCAAATCAAAACCACCCTAAGATACCATCTCACTCCAGTTAGATTGGCAGCCATTATGAAGTCAAACAACAACAAGTGCTGGCGAAGATGCGGGGAAAAGGGTACACTTGTACATTGCTGGTGGGACTGCAAATTGGTGCAGCCAATTTGGAAAGCAGTATGGAGATTTCTTGGAAAGCTGGGAATGGAGCCACCATTTGACCCAGCTATTCCCCTTCTCGGTCTATTCCCTAAGGACCTAAAAAGAGCATGCTACAGGGACACTGCTACATCGATGTTCATAGCAGCACAATTCACAATAGCTAGACTGTGGAACCAACCTAGATGCCCTTCAATGGATGAATGGATAAAAAAAATGTGGCATTTATACACAATGGAGTATTACTCTGCATTAAAAAATGACAAAATCATAGAATTTACAGGGAAATGGATGGCATTAGAGCAGATTATGCTAAGTGAGCTAGCCAATCCCTAAAAAACAAATGCCAAATGTCTTCTTTGATATAAGGAGAGTAACTAAGAACAGAGTAGGGTCGAAGAGCATGAGAAGAAGATTAACATTAAACAGGGATGAGAGGTGGGAGGGAAAGGGAGAGAGAAGGGAAAATGCATGGAAATGGAAGGAGACCCTCAGAGTTATACAAAAGTACATACAAGAGGAAGTGAGGGGAAGGGGAAAAATAATATAAGGGGGACAAACGAATGTCAGTAGAGGGAGCAGAGAGAGAAGAGGGGAGGGGAGGGGAGGGGAGGGGAGGGGAGGGGAGGGGAGGGGGGATAGTAGAGGATAGGAAAGGCAGCAGAATACAACAGACACTAGTATGGCAATATGTAAATCAATGGATGTGTAACTGATGTGATTCTGCAATCTGTATATGGGGTAAAAATGGGAGCTCATAACCCACTTGAATCAAATTGTGAAATATGATATATCAAGAACTATGTAATGTTTTGAACAGCCAACAATAAAAAAATTAAAAAAAAAATAAATAAAAAAAATAAAAAGAATATATTCTTTAAAAAGAATCCTGGTATTTTAAAGATACATTCTGAAATATTATGGATAACATAAAATGTCTGGGATTTGCCTCAAAGCAGTATGGAATCTTATGGGGATGGGAAGCCCAGAGGAAAGAAGAGCAGCCATAGATTGATTCTCTTGAACCTGGGTGACATGCACATGGATGTACTATATTACATCCATGTAATGTGTCCATTTTAAATGTGTCCATTTTTGCATACATTTAAAATTTCCATGACTTTAATTCAGAAAGAACTGGCATCTTATTGTTTTGTGTTTCAAGGATACTGTCTGCTTTTTAATTACTTTGGAATGTACTGGGAAAACCAAATTCTTCATTTTGAAAATTATATTCATAGTTCAAATGTTCCTTAAAGCGATAAAAATCTTCATTGAAACAAAGACTTTTTAAAATAATTTTTTTAAAAATTTTTTTAGTTGTTGGTAGAACTTTATTTTATTTATTTATTTATATGTGATGCTGAGAATCGAACCCAGTGCCTCATACATGCCAGGCAAGTGTGCTACCGCTGAGCCCCAGCCCCAGCCCCACAAAGACTTTTTTAAAACCCATCAGTGGCCACTCATTTCCAGCAATTTTGAACATTATGTTCAAGATCCACTACAGCAAAATACTGCACTCAGACCCTTCAACACAAATAAAATTCCTTTATAACAAATTCCTTGAAACTTTTTGTTTCTGAATATGTTTGTTTAAGTGAGTATCTCTAGAGATCACATTCTCTGACTGTGATTCTTGAGATGAAAAACCCTATTTATGTCAGCAGAGTCCACTGAGGTAGTGAAGGAGGAATTTTAAACTCATTTGTGACCTTCCCTCCAAGGCCTTGTACTTCCCAGGATCTGATTTTGTGCCCTGTTGTTTGGCTAAGGGTTAGAGGAGTTCAAGTGGCTTAAAGTTGGATTTGGAGAAGGTTTAGTCGTTTCATTGCATAAATTCCACAAAACACTCAGCTAAACTCTCTCTTCCTAGCCTGTAATCCAAGAAACAACACCCAATTTTAATTGTAGTGGCTCTGACATGAATCAGGTTCACAAATTGATTTGTTGCAAAAACATTTCGTACTGTCAAGAAGATTCTCTTATGGGCTGTATCCCTAGACGTGGAGATAGCTTTATTGAGACTTACCCGTGACTTCAGTCTTTGAGGCATGAATTTCAACCACTTAGGGAAAATGAAGACTGAAAAGCCCTGGTTTCCTTATGTTAGCTGTAATATATTGTTTTGTCATTCTTGTGACTTCTTTCTTTCCAGAGATAGACTATTGTGCTTCTCCTAACCACGGATGTGAGCACGAGTGTGTTAGCACTCATGATTCCTACTCCTGCCGCTGCCTCAAAGGTTTCACCTTGAATCCAGACAAGAAGACGTGCAGAAGTAAGTCACACTGGGCGCTGTGGAAGGACTTGTGAGTTTTCCTCTTCTTGTAAATCTTAAGCGAGTTATTCTTGAACTCAGCATTTGTGTTGATGAATGTTAATTCTGCATTTATTTTGCTTTTTGTTTACTAGATCCTATTTAGGGGACTTTCAAAAGAGATTGAATACCCTGGGTCTGGCCATTGGATTTGTTGAGCCAAGTCAGGGTTCAAGCTGAAGTTCCACCTATCTGAAATGAGGGTTCACTTTCTTCCTGGTCCTTACTCCCACAATATGTATTTGGGAGCTTTAGAAAGAAAACGCTGGGCCCAGAGATGGGTTGTCAAAGGAGCTGATGTCCTCAGTGCTACAAGACAAAACACTTGATGGCAGATCTGTCCTCTTTGACAGGAAGGAAGAAGGAAAATAAGACTCTGGAGCATCCCCACAGCTCTCAAGGGGTACAAGGCATCAGCAAGATCAGAGTGAGATGTGCTGAGTGACTCAAACACCTGTCGTCCAGCACACCAGAGGTGTAGACCTCAAACAGGAACTCTTTAAACCAGACTGTTCCTGAGAGACACCAGAAAGAAAGATCCACGAGGACAGAGGTGGCTGTCTTTCTTACTGCCAAGTCCTCAGCAGCTCAGAGTGTTTGGCATGTACAGGTGCAGCCCATGTTTGTTGAATGGATGATGCATGGATAAAGGAATCATTCTGAGATCCATCATCCTGCAGAAACTATTGCAACTATTATTTAAATTCCTCTATATTGTTAGAATGATTTTTTGTTGTTGTTGTTTGTTTGTTTTTTCTTACAGTACTAGAGATTGGACCCGGGGGCTTCCTCTGAACTACACCCAAACCCTTTTTATTTTTTTATTTTGAGACAGGATCTTACTAAGTTGCGTCTGCTAGCCCCGAACTTGTGATTCTTCTGCCTCAGCCTCCCCCGAGTAGCTGGGATTACAGGCAAGGGCCACAAAAGATGGCCTTTCTTGGGCCTGCATATCATGAACTTTTTCCAAAGAGCCTTCCCTTAGTGTACAGTTATGCGTGCTGGGTTGTTTGTGGTCACCTGACCCTGTCATTTGCAGAACTCTCTGGAGCTTCCACTTAGGGATTTATTCTATATGTTACCACCCTCACCTCTTCCTGGCAATAGGTATAGAAGTGTTCTGCTTGGTGGGACTGTGTTTTCAGAACTTTTCTGTCTACCTCTTCTGAAAAGCACTGTGGGCTGTATGTATAACTGAATCCAGGTGAGTCACATTCGGCTTCTAAGCACAGATTAACTTTCATGCTCATTCTCATAAGGGTTAAAGCTTGTTAGGAGGCAGATGGTTGCAGAGCCCGTATTTTGAAACTGAGCCTGTCTTAAAGGAGATAATTCCTACTGCCCTGCCTGGATATAAAAACCTGGAAACAGTCAAGTAGTAAATGGGAACTTTAATTGAGAGCATTCAAAATGTGAAAACAATTAGGTGGAATATTTTCCATTAGACCACACATGCCTATGGTATGTCAGCGGGTCAACTTTGCTGGCCTGGCTGCTCCCCTCTGCATTGTTGGTACCTTTTTCTAGGCGTGAGTGTGTCAGGGCCTGACTACACCCAGGGAAAATCAGTCACCGGTGGACGCCCATGTGCACTCAGAGCTCTGATGCAGGGAATAATTAGATCTGATTCAACTCAGATTCTCATTATGGTCATTGACTTCCTCTGTGTTACTAATAGAGGGGAAAAGGAAACAAGTTAGGCATGTGGCCATTGGTGGAGACTTTTCTTGAGGCTCTGCATCTCTTACCAATGGTCTAAGATTCCCTCGAGCTCTGCCACTCCCCCCACACCCTGCCTGGAGAGGCTCTGGGAGGAAGAGAAGCCTTCAAGGCAGTATTACCAAGAAGGAGGGAGGCTGGGAGCAGCAGTTGGACCCCCACAAATTGGCCTGCAGTTGGGCCTCTTCGCAGGCTGTGGCACTGGCCAGAGTTCCTAATGCTCATTCCTGAATATTCAGTGCTAACAGCTTCATTTCCTCTTTAGCCAGGTGGCCTACTTTTTGCATCCAGGAAAAATAGAATGTGTCACTAAAAGCCGGTGTCCTCAGCAGCCCTTCTTTGCATGTCCTGCCTCACCGTTACTTTTTCCATTGTCTTTGCTGGGAACACCCAGCCCTGGACTCCTGAGGTCAGCCTCTCAGAGCCACCCCTGCCTTCATGCTTGCACATTCGGTCAATCATGGCAGACAGCTGGAAACAGTAGCAAGTGCTCACAGTCTCTATGGAGCATTACGTGGCAGAAGGAAGTGAAGAAATTGGGCTTAAATTCTGGAGTTTGTTTTTAGGAGTCTGATGTCTCTCAAGTGATCTGAGCAATACACACGTCCATCCAGCTCAGGAGATGGCCATTTATGTTTAATAGAGGCTGATGGATGTGGGCTATTTTCAGAACTAATAAGAAATGTGTGTTTCAAAGGAATTTGGTGTCATCCAATTAAACTGCAGGGGGAAAAAAAAGAGTTCAAGGAAGAATCTTACTCTTGGCCAGGGTTTGTCTTTCTCCTCGTCTGGGCACAGTTTCTCTTCCTGAAGTTGTTGTTTTTGAATTAAGACATTAATTACGGATGTGGTGATGCCAAGCACAAAGACCAGGGCTAGGTGGCTGTCCCAGTGGAGCCTGGGACTGATGTGGTGCTACTCGGATGGTGGCCTCCAGGATTCCTGATTCTGGTACCATGGTGGTGCCTTCCCCATAGACACTCAAAAAAAAAAAAAAATCAGTGTAAAGTGCCCAGGCTACACTAAGCCAGAAGGAGGTCTAGTCTTGGCAATGTCACTCGTATCAGCTTTGTCACCTTGGGCCAATTACTTTCTACTTCTCTGGCCCTGAATTTTCTAAATGGAGCAACAGGACTTCTTGCTTCAACATCTTTTTTTTTTTAATATCTATCTATCTATCTATCTACATATCTATATATCTACATATGGATTTAGTTTTATTTATTTATATGTGGTGCTGAGGATCGAACCCAGGGCCTCACATATGCCAGGCAAGTGCTCTACCACTGAGCCACAATTCCAGCCCAGCATTTTCTTAAACTGTTCAGTTTTCCCAAAACTTTCTCTCTGTTCTGTTAGCTGGCATTATAACTTACTGCCTGAGGTCACTAATCTTTCATGCTTATAGTCTGACCCTTTCAGGTCTCCAACTGAATTGGTATGCACAAAGACTATTTAATTTGTTATCTGACAGTCCTGCCATCTGACCTCAGGATTTACTGGACACACTGGACTTTACCAGATCAAGTTACATCCAAGACTGGCTTGTGTGCACCACTTCACAGTTTATGAGGTTCACATAACCAGCTATGGGGTGCATAGGAGGTACTCAAGAAATATTTATTGAATGAATAAATGAGTGAATGAGTATGTAAGTAACACCCTCAAGGCACTATGACTCCTGTGTGTAGAGAAAGCCCAAGAGAGCTAGGCTGGTGGTACATTCCTGTAATCCCACTGATCCAGGAGGCTGAGGCAGGAGGATTTCAACTTTGAAGCCAGCCTCAGCAACTTAGCAAGACCCTGTATCAAAATACAAAATAAAAAGGGCTAAGAATGTGGCTCAGTGGTTAAGCGCTCCTGGGTTCAATCCCTGATTCAAAAAAAAAAAAAAAAAAGAAGAAGAAGAAAAAAGGAAAAAAGAAAGAAAACAAAGTGACAATGATTTTGTTGTTGTTGTGGTGGTGGTGGTGGTGGTGGTAGCTACACATAACATAAAACTTACCATTTTTTAAATTTTTAGTTGTAGATGGACATAATACCTTTATTTTACTTTTTTGTGCCTCCCACATGCTAGGCAAGCACTGTACCACTGAGCTATATCCCCAGATTCATTTTAACCATTTTTAAAATGTACATCTCAGTGGTATCAAGTACATTCATATTATCGCACAATCATCCCTACCATCCATCTCCAGAACTTTTTCATCACCCCAAACTAAACTTTACTTATTGAAAAAAACTCCCCATTTTTTCTTCTCTTCATTCTCTGACAATCACCAGTCTGCTTTGTCTCTATGATTTTTCCTGTTCTGAGTACCTCATATAAGTGGACTCATCCATTTGTGACTGGCTTACATCACTTAACACAGTGTCTTCAAGTTTTAACCATTTGTAGGATGTCAGAATTTCTTTCTCTTTTAAGGCTGAATAATAATCCAGTGCATGTCTACTTCCCTTTTTGTTTATCCATTCATCCCTCAGTAGACACTTGGACTGCTCCCACTTCTTGGCTTTGTTATGTTGTGAACCTGTATTTCTATACCTACAAGTGAAATTGCTGCATCATCTGTTCAAGTCAATGTTTAATTTTTGGAGGAACTGCCATGTTGTTTTACACAGAGGCCAAATGCTGACTTTGAAGACTGAGTTTACTGAAGATTATTTCTTTTTCCCCGATGGAGTAATAACATGATTCTCACATGCCCTGCACTACATGGCCCCAGACCATGGGGCCTTCATGTTCTTTGTGTTTGTCTGTTTGTATGTGGCTGGTGTTTTGTTGCCAGGCCAATTTCTCTCAATCAAAACTCTTTGCACTGGGCGCGGTGGTGCATGCCTGTAATCCCAGTGGTTTGGGAAGCTGAGGCAGGAGGATCGCGAGTTCGAAGCCAGCCTCAGCAACAGCGAGGCACTAAGCAACTCAGTGAGACCTTGTCCTAAAATAAAATACAAAAAAAGAATGGGAATGTGGCTCAGTGGTTGATTGCCCCTGAGTTCAATTGCTGGTACCCCCAAAACAAAACAAAACAACTCTTTGCTTGTTTCCTGGTACTCAGTTCTGTCTTGCACAGGTAAGGTTGTTGATGAGTCCCAAGCAGATGACCTTAAACTACATGGAGATATTCCATTTCTCCTTGTACAGAAGAATGAATTACAGAGAAAATGCTAAGGGTTCAGGACACAAGAAGACAACATTTCTTTTAGGTCAGCCCTTGTGTGCCATGGACTTGTGCTCAGTCTGCAGTCCTTCTAGGGGACCCCAGTAAATTTCTCCTTATGTCTTTTTGGCTAGAGCTAAAACCAATCCCTGACAAAGGAGAATATAGTTGCCTGGCAGACTTACACCAGTTGTGACTCATGCTCTGGAGGGCCACAGGGTTTTAATGGTGTTGTCAAGACAACCACCAGTGTCTGCCACATACCCAGAAGGAGAACAATGCTGTGCAGTTCAACTAATCCAGCTCCACCAATGAGGTTGGTGGTGACCTTTCCCCTCAACACCAGTCTCATAAAGACCCTCTTCTATAAGCTCATTTGATTTCCTTTTACAATCCTTCACCTCCTCTATAAACTGACAGGCATGGGGTCCTGTGGTTTTAGCATTTTCTACCAGGAAAACAATTGCTAATTGCCTATTGGTTTGGAGGCAACTCCCACCTGCTGTCAAAAAAGTGGTTTGGATGGGAGTAAATTTGCCATGGGACAGTAACCTGGGGCAGCATCAGGGATATGAATTCCCAGTTTCATGATATAGACGATATCATGATCAGAGCAAGGTGAAGCACTTGGCACCTTCTCAATGTAACTGCCATTTCCTGACTCCCTTAAGTAGCTGGATATATTGCAAGATTGCCTTTTGTTTATTCTGCCTCATGCCATTCAATGTCATTGTCAGATGTCTCTGCAGACAGAAGCTGTCTCGATGCTTTCAGCCCTAGTGATCAGGTTAGGTCAAGGAAGAGGCTGATTGGATTTCGTGAGCTTTTCCATTTTTCTTAGAAGGGGATGGTTGGGTAGTGTGGTCTTCACCCCTGCTCTTAGTTCTTTGACATCAATTTAGTTCAGCTCAATTCAACTGAACCTTGATTTGGTCTTTGTCCATCAAATGAGAAAAGAAACCAATGGTGGAGAATCCAGAGGCACAATTCCTGCGTCAGGTTCTCTTTCACAGCAGGCGCTGTTTTCTCTGTGTTCTGTGGAGCATGTATTTATTCACTGTTTGTCGAAGTTCACCTGTCTCTCCCTTGCCACTGCAAAATCTTCCTCTTCAAGGCCTCCATCTACACTCCCACCTCCAGCCACCTGTTTGAGCCTTCACAGCTCCATCCTGTGGCTTGCAAGGCCCTGCATGATCTTTTCTACCCAGCCTTGTCTGTCCTCCTGCTCCAGCCATACTCGAAGATCCCTAAATGTGCCCCCTGCCCTTCACTACCAGGCCATGAGCTTGCTATTCCTGAGTTATCACCCTCTGCTTCCTCTGGCTCCATTTACCTGTCTGACTTCTCTCTTCCTTAAGGAATCCGGTTGGCCATCACCTCTTCAAAGATGATCCTGATCACCAGGATGCAGGGAGGGCCTCCTCTGTGTTGCTGTGTGTTGTCTAATGACTCTGTTTTCTCATCTGTCTCCTCATTAAAGGATGAAGCCCTGGAGGACAGGGGCCTTGGTCTTGCTCGCCATCACTCCCCCACATCTAGTTCAGGGCCTGGAACTTGTTGGCACGTGAATGAACGAATGATCAGTCCCTCACTCACCTCTGCAGGCAGCACCCACCTGCTCTCCCTCTAGGGCCTGTGATAGCCCCAGAGGCCATCCGCACAGCCCTGGAGAAGCCTAGAGTCTGAAGAAGGGTCTTTCCTCTCTCCCTTCAGGGATCAACTACTGTGCACTGAACAAACCTGGTTGTGAGCATGAATGCGTCAACACAGAGGAGGGCTACTACTGCCGCTGCCACCGGGGCTACACTCTGGACCCAAATGGCAAGACCTGCAGCCGTGAGTACCCCAGGGGTGCAGGTGTGAATGGACGGGGGCTCCCAGGATCACTAGCAGCCAAGCGTTGCTGGTGCTCCTGGATTTCCTGTGAACCTGATGGTCCAACAGACATAAATTTCCTTGCCTGAGTTTTATCATCCATAAAATGGGACCATAAGTGCTGCCTATTTCATAGTGTGGGTTATGAGGATTGAAAGATTCAATTCTAAGTGTAAAATACTTAGAATAGTGTTGCTGGACACCGTCCTCAATAAGTATTAACTAATATTACTATTTGCTATTAAAAGCATTTACTAAGTTGGCTAGGCATGAATCCAAATCTAAGGTCTGCCACACACTACACGGGTGACCTTGTACTTAACTTCTCCAAGGTTTGACTTCCCATCTATTCAAAAAAGTGAACATAAAAATGGCATTGAAATAAATTAAGCAAAAAAAAAAAAAAATAGCATTGATCCCCCAGCATTGTAATAGGGAATAATTGGAACCATTTCAATCTCTTGGCCCAGTGCCTGGTGCAAGGTAAACATACAACCCAGGATAATGGCTCATATCATGGGATCAATGTCCAGGATCAGGTTGGGACAAGAGGCTAGAAGGAATAGACCTCAGAAAGCAACAGGCTACCCTGGCTGATCCGAGGGCAGAGCTGAGAAACATGGGACTTTTCTGAAGCCTTTTCTTAATTTTCTTGTGTTAGAGCCACAACAAAGCTTCATTTGGTGATGTAAACGCATGGGAACTTGCTGGCCTTGCCAGCTGGATGGTTCCATCATTTTTTATGAGGCACAGTCTCCACCAGCCCTGGCCAGTGGGGTGGGAGCACACGGGTGCTGTGGTAGATCCCTGTGACCCTGGCGCACTGAGAGCTGAGGCTCAGTGACATGGCCAGCGTAGAAGGGGCCCTTTGTGTGGCTTTCCACCCAGCAAGCCACACATCTGCTGCAGCTTTGGAGACAGAGATAGATTGTGAATGAGAACAGTGCAGCTGTTGAACACTTGGACCCTCAACTGCCAGGAGGGGAAGTTTCACAGCTGAAGTATGAGGTCCAGAGCCATCCTCAGGGAAACTTGTTCTCCTTCAGTCTTCAGAGGTAACAAAGTGCCTTGATTAGGCTTTCTAAGGACAGAGCTCAGAGGCCAAAGGGCTGTGAATGAGGACATTGGTGTAAAAGTCTGCCCTGGGTTTCTGAGTCCTTCTGAGAAGCCCGTGGGGAGCAGGAGGTCTTCCATTCAATCAGGAGATACCCTCTGCAAACGGAGATTCCCTTTTTCCTGGAGGCTGGGATCTTCCAGCTGCTGGCCCTGGCTCATTTCCTAGTTAAGGCCATGCATGACTTGGCTGACCCACCTAGGTTACTGGAGGTCCAGGCCTGTCTGCCTCTCTCTCCCTGCATGCCTTGGGGAGCTTAGAAGAACTCAGAGGATGGGCCACACAGGAAGCCCCTAGATCTCTAGGATCTAGTCAACTTGAAGAAAGTATCAACTAAGCCATTTCTGTCCAAGAGTCCCCAGGGAAAGCCATGGTCTTCCACTCTCCCAAGGCTCAGGGAGCCCTTGGCCATATGAGAGCAAGCCCTTAGAAGGCACTCGCTCAGTGTAGGTATTTCATGAGCTCTTTGCATGCACAACTCTCTTGAGCCTCCCAACACCCCTCTGAACATTAGTATTCTTATCCTATTCAAAGAATGGGAAACTGTGGCACAAAAAAAATTAAGTCAGTTTCTTGGGGTCCCATGACTGGTTAATGGCAGAACCAGGATGTGAACATGGGCACGTAGCTCCTGAGATCCTACAACACCAGGGGACTGTTCCAGAAGGCACTGGTTCCAGGCTCTACAGGAGTGAAGAGGCTCACTTGGTGGCCCTCCACAAGGCCTTCAGTGTTTGTCCAGACTCAGGGGGAACTTTCTCCATCCAGGAAATCTGGGAGGCAGCCTGCAGGACCGCTCTGCGGGAGCTGTCCACCACAGCTGTGTGTTTCCTGGCTTTCGGCCTTCACTGCCCAGGGACCAGATGTGCGATGTTTGGGTGCCAGGATGGGCCACACAGGCAGGCCCAGGCTTTGGTTTGTTTTCTGAATTTGGATGTCCTGATTATGAGGCTTTTTTGTTGTTGTTGTTGTTGTTATTTAAAAATCACATTTTCTTTTTCATTTTCAAGTAGAAGTGAAACTATGTAGTTAATTCTTACTAAGCACTACTTGATGATAATAATAACAGACGTTCATTAAGCGGTTGCTGTGTGCCAGCTACCATTCTAAGGGATTTCCATGGATCATCTCCTCTAACTCTCACTGCATCTCTATCAGAAGCAGCCATTATCCCCATTTGTCAAGTCAGAAGATGATGGCACAGAGAGGTCAGGTCATTGCTCAGCAGCCGCGGCAAGGGAGTGGTGGAAGCAGGACTTGGTCCCAAGTGGTTTGATGCCAGACCCTCATTCTTAAGTGATACTGCATCAGCAGTGTGGCTTTGGGCAGGAACCTTTGACCTTCCTGGGCCTCACTTTCCTCTCTGAAAACAAAATCGCTTCCGTTCGCAGTATCACTCAACAAGGAGACGGCAGATTTGGCATGTAAGGCCCTGGCCAGAGTGCCGCTGTCTTTATCATCAGGGACAGCATTTCCCAGTCGTTCAGCTGTATGCACTTTCTCATCAACTAAAGAGATGGACAGGAAAACAAGCAGGGCTGATTTTCCCTAGAGGCTGGGGGTATGGGGTAGAATGGAATCACCCCCGGGGTTCTGCCACTGAGAAGGCTTTGTTTTTCAATCCCTTGGCTGGTGGGGTGTTGCTCTCTCGGTCCCTTTATGTTTCTGTGTTTGACATAATGCAGGGGTGGACCACTGTGCTCAGCAGGACCATGGCTGTGAGCAGCTGTGCCTGAACACGGAGGAGTCCTTTGTCTGCCAGTGCTCAGAAGGCTTCCTCATCAACGAGGACCTCAAGACCTGCTCCAGTGAGTCCCTGTCTGCCCCTCCTTGGTAGGGAAGGGTTTGCAACAGGAGTAAAATGTGCAATTGCTGCAGAGGATGGCAGGTGGTGCAGGGCCCTTTTTTCCTCTGCGAGGGACCGTGTGGGGTAGTCTGTTGGGGACTGCATGCCTTCAGGGGTGGCCAGCATGACGGTCACTTGATTTCTGTTAGCATGGCCCAAAGCCTCACTGGCAGGGCCCCAGGGACCTCATCTAGCTTTTGACTTTGCAGGGGTGGATTACTGCCTGCTAAGTGACCACGGTTGTGAATACTCTTGCGTCAACACGGACAGATCCTTTGTCTGTCAGTGTCCCGAGGGATATGTGCTCCGCATCGATGGCAAGACCTGTGCAAGTAAGTCCCATCATGCTTGAGGTCCTAAGGCACACCGGACCTGGCACAAGCCTTCTGTGGTTGTGGGTGTGCTGTCGAGATGTGCGTAGGCCTGTGCATCCTCTTTCCTGCCTCCAGTGGGCCCTTGTGAATGAGTGTGACTACATCTCTTAGCCATCTGGGCCCTGCCTCTCCCTCTGTCCCAGGTTCCCTTCCCCCACTCCCTGACACAGCTCTGGATCTTTCCACAGTCTGCCTCGATGCTATTTTGAAACTGGACAGAGTCCTAGTTCTTAGCATTCTCCTACGGTTTGAATGTGTTCCCTCCGAAATCCATGTTGAAATTCAACTGCCATTGCAGCAGTTTGAGAGATGGAGACCTTCAGAGGTGATTAGGTTGTCAGAAGGGATGAATGCCTTTTCCAGAGGAGAGGGTTAATTCTCAAGGGAGTGGGTTAGTTATGGGGAGAACAGCTGTCATAAAGCAGGTCTGGCCCCTTTGTCCCCCTCTTTTGCATGTGCTGTCTTGCACTTTTCCACCATGAAATAAAGCAGGATGAGGTCCTCGCCAGAAGCTGCACCATGCTCCATCTTGAACTTGGCAGCCTCCAGAACCATGAGCTTGCTAAACCTCTGTCCCTTCTAATCATTCAGTCTAAATAACAATCATGGACTAAGAAAATGCATCAAGATGCTCTCTCTGCTTCACCTGCAGCCATCCTGCCTTGCATATGGATAATCATGTGGGCCACTTGCTGACGGTGGCTGGCTGTGTGCTGGGCACTGTGCTAGCACATGCCTTGTCCCTTCCAGAACAGATGAGAAAACTGCAGCTCCCATTAAGGAAAGAGACCTAGGTTCCCCGCTATGAAGTGGGGGTTTGCATTCTGCTCTGTGTGACTTCAGAGTCAGTTCTGGAAGGAGGAGAGGCTCCTAAGAAACCCTTTGCCCCCTCCCTGATGGTCTCCCAGCACATGGAGGGGTTGGCGGTTGTCTGAGTACATGTTTCCCCGGGGCTGTTCCTAACGCATATAGACATGATCCCAGGTAGCCTTCTCTGCTTTACCCAAGGGTGCAGCTGGTTTGCTGCCCTGCTCTCCCCTTTCCTTGGACCAAGATAATGAATTGAAAAAGATGGTCATTTTGAGAAAAGCAATCAGTAATGGAGAAAAAAAAAAAAAGACCATAATTTACTTGCCCCTATCCTTCTGGTCTTTCTGGTTATAAGACCGAATTCCTTGAACACTAGTACAACTGTGGCCACAACTATATCCACCTTTTTGTATTGTCCTTTCACAACATTCACAAGGACAGAGGAGCTGCCAGCATAGCCTTTCCATGAGGTCTAGGAGAGAACGTGTCCCCAGTTTGGGATAGACTCTTAGATCTCAGCAAATGGGTTATCCATGTTATTTCATGTGACTCCCTGCCCAGTTGCCTCCCAGACTGCTACTGTAGCCAGCTCATGGAGGGACTGGGCACTGGGGGTGCAGAAAAGGGTGAGTGTGTCAAATAGCATCTCCACCTGACGACAGGCCAAAGGCAGAACCAAGGGGATTTGTGGGTTTAATTCTCCACCATAATCTTAGCTTATGCGTGCCCTTCCTTTGTCCTCCTCTTTACTGTGATCATCAGGAACTGAGCATAAGATGGTTGCAGGACTTCTAAAAATTCTCACAGACCCTTCCAAGCCTGTGCAGCCCCCCTCCTTTCAATGTCTTGCTTTTCCTACATCTGTTTTATGCCTTCACCACTTTGAAATGTTGCCCGTTTTCTTATTTAATTGTGGGTTCATAACTTATGGCATAGTGACATCATCTTATGAGTAATTAAAAATGAATTTGGATGCTTATACATGGTTGGATCTATATGAGAACTTTTATCAGATGGCTTAGCCCTGTCCTCAGGAACGGCACAGGAAAGACACTTTATCCTCCAGAGCTTCCCCGATTGTAGACTTTCTACCTATTTTGGAATGATCCAGTCTGATTGCCCTGTTCTGTAATGGTGGGCTAGGTTTTCACTGTGGCATAGCTGATGGGGATAGGGATGTTTGTTCCCCAGCCCTACGTCAGGTGACACAGAGATAGATGACATAACTATTCCTTTTGGTAAAGCCTGCTGGGAGCCAGCTGGGTCAACCTGGCTCTGTAGCTGAGGGCCTCCTTGGCCTGAATAAAGGCAGCCCCCACTCAGAGCCTTGACAGCAGATGGTCTGAAGAGCCCCTCACTTGCCTTCCAGAAAGTTCTCTGAAACATGGAGCTAAGGCCTAGGTTGTTGGGCCCTTGGGTACAAGTGGACACTGTGGTCCTTACACCCCTCTGGGCACCTTGGCTCTCTGGGTTTGGAGTGAAGCCTGTCCTTCCTTCCTCTCAGCCCTCTGACCCTCAAGCTCTGATTATTCAGATTTGGGTAGAGGATTGGGGTAGATTCTTCCACCAGCTGAGAGGTCCCCCACTGCTGAGGTAGACTTTGTACAAGGGCCTCCCAGCACCAAGAAAGACTCCATGGAGCGATGTGCATGGAGTACAGAGCCTATTGGCCAGTGAGCTCCTGGAGGTCAGAGGTTGGGAAGCTCCGTCTTATCTGGAGTCAGAGCTCCCAAGGGCTCAATAAAGTGAACCAAGAGGGCAAGTGAGTAGACAGACCAGCCGCGTTTCCATCCCATGGCCCTGGTACATGGTTTACTACCTGCTCAACAACCTTCAATGACTCCCCATTGTCTTCTAGGGTAGATTTCCAATGGCCTTCCTTGATGTGGCCGTATGGGAGACACCCCTCCTCTGCCTCTTTAACACTGCCTTCCTGGCCTTCAGCCAAAGTGGCAAGTCCTCTATTCTCTGAGCAGACCCTACACCTTCCAGCCTATCCTGTCTCCACTTAGGGATGTTCTCCCGACTCCTCACCCTACCATGGAAACCCAGTGTCACCTCCCCCCATGGGAAACTTCCTCTTCCTCTTTACCGACTGGCTGCCCCTTTCCTCCTGCCATTCCCAGGCTCACTGGGGACCTTTCTGCTTGTTCTCCTACCTGGCCTCCCCCGTGGCTCTCTGCAGACATCTGAGAAATAGCATGGCAGAACATAAAGAGTATTGAACTGGGACCCTAAAGATTAAATCTTGTCACTCTTATCCTGGGCAAGGGAGTTGGCCCTCTCTGGGTCTGATTGTTCATCTGTAAACTAGAAATGATCATTCCTCTCTCTCTCTCTCTCTCTCTCTCTCTCTCTCTCTCTCTCCCCACCCCTCCCTCCTTCTCTTCCCTGCACCCATTGAGGGCTCCTGTGGCACAGGGAGAGCTATTCATCAGAATTCTTTATGAACTTGTAGAGTGATGGGAACCCCTAAGTGCCCTTGTCAGGATGTGACCTCCTCACCATCAGACTGCCCTGCACTGAGAAAAGGCCAGAGGAGGCTACCTGCATTGCTGCCTGAAGATCCTTCTCTCAGGTCCAGGCCTGCCCTCCTTGGCCAGGCCCTAGAAACCCACCATCCTGGAAGGGGTTGGACTCTGGAGTCCATTGTCTGTCCTAGGGGCGGCCCTCCCTCTGGCTGTGGAGGATGCTAACGGGGATCTAAGCACCAGCCTTAGGGCCCTAGGGATTTGGTTGGCCATGCTCCCAGTCCAGCTACCTCAGGTTGATCTGCAAAGACTTGTTTAGACCTGAGGCACCTAGCTTGGCCTCCAAGGGATGATGCAGCCCTGAGCAAGGCAAGGGGAGTGTCTTAGTCTTCTCAGGCTGCCATGACAAAATGCCACAGATGGGGCATTGTTTCTTAACCACAGAAATGTATTTCTCACAGTTCTGGAGTCTGGAAGTCTGAGATCAGGGTGCCAGCATGGTCAGGTTGTGGTGAGAGCCTTGCTCCTTTCTTGCAGACAGCCAGCATCTCTGGCTGTTCCTCACATGTCAGAGGGGAGAGAAAGAGAGTGTGCACATAAGAGAACTAGTGAGCTCTTACGCGGTAAGAGGGCACTAATACCATTAGAACTGAGCCCCACCCTCATGACCTCGTCTAAGTCTTTTCAGCTTCCAAAGTGCCCACCTCCACATACCACTGCATCCCAGGATAGGGAGTCAGCATGTGAATTTGGGCATGGGCCACTGTGCAGTAGGAAGCCAGGGGTGAGGGAAGAGGACCACCCTCACCATGGTGCAATACAAGGAACATTAGAGGCCATCCCTTGCTTTTGTAGGAAGCCAGCACAGGGAAGAAAATGATATCCCCAACATGCCTGGGGGTCAATGGCAGAACCAGAACTACAACCTGGGTCCACTGATTTGAGATCTCTTGCCCATTGTGAGATATTCACAAAAACGGACATTTCAGTTCAGCTGTTTCTCAGTCTGACAAAAGTTCATACAGAGGTAGCAAAGGATTGGTTGCTTCTAGTTTGTTTTGTTTTATTTTTTAAAAATATTTTCTTACTCATTGATGGACCTTGATTTTTGTTTACTTATTCATACGTGGTACTGAGAATTGAACCCAGTGCCTCTCACATGTTCGGCAAGCATCCTACCTCTGAACTACAAGCCAGCTCACTGCTCCTACTTTTATTATAAGAAAGCCAGGAAATGCTGTCAGCCTTTAGTTACCTTTTTGGCAGGGGGCCACCATGGCCATCTCCCTCTGGGATTGAGTTGGTTTTAATAATTTCATATGTAGAGCCCCAGACGTAGGGTCTGTCACCAACAGAGATGCTAGTGCATAGAACACGTGACCCCCACCATTGCTGTCTCACAGACCTGTGAAACTCACCAGATGTGTAATCCAGATGTGGGCAGCAATGTGTGTCAACCATAAAAACCTGAGCTACTTCTTGAAACTTATCATCATCCTCATCACAAATTGCAGACCTCATTTTTGGTACAGCTAGTGTGATCTGCCTCCTCATGTGGGAAAGGAAGATGATCTTTTCTTTGGGAAATGTTTTCTTCCCACCTCCTAAGACCTCTTGTAAGCCCCTTACCTGTTCCTCTTAAGCTATGGTTCCTAATTGAGCCTCTCACTCCTTTCT